TATTTGGCATTTATCTTAATCACGATAGAATCACCTAGCGTTTACTTTTGTGTCCGGCTTCTTTCATTAACATGTGTGTACAATTCATCAATTTTGTGTGTACTACCTTTGTTATTTTTTTCATTGCTGTGGTGATATTTCATTGTACCCAAAACACCATCTCCCTAGCCTAAATTCTTGACTTCCAGAAGGAAAGCAATGTTTGGCAAAAACCATGTTCCTTTTACAAACATTTTAGGCACAATGAGCCACTCTCATCAGCAGATGGTGAGAACTGTCCTGAAATTTAAGTCCGCAGATGCTAAGGGCTGACCTTGGAAACAGGCCTTTCTCAGGGTAGCACCTCAGGACTGCTGTACGTGAGTGTTTCACACACAGCGTTCTGTGAATAATGCTGCTATGGACCCTTCCTGTATTTTAGTGCTTTTGTGAGGGCATTTTTGTTAAGTCTTGATCCAGAAGTGATTTGTGGAGTCTCAGAGGATGTGTAAGTTCAATTTGAGTAGATAATGCCAAGCCTCTTATGCAGAATTATACCCCTCCAGCAGTGTATGAGAAATCACATTGTTCCCCACCTTCACCAACGCATTTGTATTGATTGTCATGTTAATTTTAGCTATTATAGTGTGTGTTTATTGGTCGTGTATTTAGTAGATGCTTCAGTAACCTCTTGGAAAGTGCCTATCCAAGTCTCTCGTTCATTTGCTGTTAGTTGTCTTTTTATTGTTGTTTTGTAGTTCTTTGTACCTCTCCCACTTTGGCTTGCGTTTTGACACTCTTAGTGATGTCTTAAAAATTCTTATTCTTATTAAGAATTTCTTATTTTGTTGTTGGTGAGGAAGATTTGCCCTGAGCTAACATCCATTGCCAATCTTCCTCTTTTTGCTTGAGGACGATCTTCCCTGAGCTAACATCTGTGACAGTCTTCTGCTATTTTGTTTGTGGGATGCTGCCACAGCATGGCTGACAAGTGGTATGTGTCTGCGCCCAGGATCTGAACCCGTGAACCCAGGCCACCAAAGTGGAGCACACCAACCTCAACCACTATGCCAAGGGGCTGGCCCAAAATATTTCTTATGTTTAACATAACAAACACATCTATTTTTTTTTTTTTTTATGGTTAGTGCTCTGTGCCCCATGTAAGAAACGTTTCCCTGCTGTAGGTCATAAATATGTTATCTTAACATCTGTAACAGGTGTCGGCAAACTACAGTTTGCAGGTCTACTCCATATCCTGTTTTTGTACAGCACTGGAGTAAGGTTTTTACATTTTTAAAGGGCCTTGAAAAAAACATGAATATGCAATAGAAACCATATGTGACCTGAAAAGAAAAAATTTGGTTCTTTACAGAAAAAGTTTGCCAACCTCTTTTCTAGAAGGTTCATCGTTTCATCAACCTGGAATTGATTTTTGTGCATGAGTGAGATGTAGAGGTCATGTTTCATTTTTTTTCCAAATGGAGATGTAATTATCCTGGTGCTGTTTCTTGAAAAGACCATCCTTTCTCCATGCTCTGCAGTGCCATATTTGTCCTAAATTTAGTCCCCCTTTAATGCATCGCTCTTTCTCGGGACTCAGTTCTTCTGTGTTAGGTCCCTTGCCTGCCTTGTGCCCATATCACGTTGCCTAATTGCTTAGTCTAGCTTTATAATATCTGTCAGTATCCAGTGATCAAGTCATCCCCCCTTGTTTTACCTCAAGAGTGCCTTGGCTATTCTTGTCTCTTTGTATTCCCTTATAAATTTTAGAGAAAAAAATGTGGGAGTTTATTAAGAATTGACGTCTTTTTAATACTGATTTTCTTATTCATGAGTGAGGTATATATCTTCAGTTATTTAGGTTTACTTTCAGCAATGTTTTATGGTTTCCTGTGGAGAGGTTTTGCAGATCAGCTTTAGATTATTTTTTCTGTCATTTGTAATTATTTCAGTGAATATCTCTACAAGATACAGACCAGAAAAAATTCATAATAAAATATTCTATTGCTAAAACATTAACGATAATTCCTTAATATCAGACAGCTAGTCAGTGTTCAAATTTCCATTTTCCTCGTAAATAACAATTTTTTTCAGCCTTTTTGAATTAAGATCCAAGTTAGGTCCACTCACTGACATTGATTGATATGTGTTTTTAACTATAATTCTCTCATTCATGCTTTTTTATTTTCCCTTTGTAATTTATTTGTTGAGAAAATTGAGTTCTTGATCCAGTGGAGTTACTCACTGTCTGTATTTTGTTTATTACATCCCCCTGTTGTTTAGTATGTTTTTCTGTTCTCTTTATTTCCTGTAAATTGATAGTTAGATCTAGAGGCTTGATCAGATTTGTGTTTGATTTTTTCTTTCTTTTTTTTTTTTTTGAGGAAGATTAGCCCTGAGCTAACTGCTGCCAATCCTCCTCTTTTTACTGAGGAAGATTGGCCCTGAGCTAACATCCGTGCCCATCTTCCTCTGCATTATATGTGGGACACCTACCACACCATGGCTTGCCAAGCGGTGCCATGTCCGCGCCCAGGATCCAAACCAGCGCCCAGGCTGCCGCAGTGGAACATGCGCACTTAACCGCCGCACCACCGGGCTGGGCCAGATTTATTATTTTTGACAAAACTATTTCCTAGGTGGTGGTATGTTCCTTTATTGGGAGGTGCATGATCTCTAATTTCTCTTTTTGTCATATTTATAGTTGTTGATGCTTAATGTCTAGATTAATCTATTAGAAGATAAAATGGTGATATTTTCACTTGATCATTTCTTCATTTATTAACTAGAATGGCTCTGTGAAGAGAAATTTCTCTGTTATTTGGTTACTCAGTGGTATACTTTTTGAAGAAAGGTGGAATAAATCCTTGACACTTGTCCAGTTTTCAAAATAATGAGTTAAATCACTGCAAGCACTGATGTTGACAAATAAGTTTTTTTGTTTGTTTTTATAAATGCATGGATTTAAATATACTTGTGTTTCAGTCCATTGTGATTGACTCCTTCAAGTTGGCTCCTGAGCCCCTTAGACAGGATCCTACTAGTCTTTGAGAGCTTTCTTGCTATCTGATATGGTTGATATCATCTGTATTTTTTCATCCCATATCTAAACTTGCAATTTTCTAAGTAGCCTCAGTATCTTTTAGTAGAAAATGGTATTTCAAGAACAGTATGGCACATATTGTTAACAAGTGATACATGTAAACATAAGAATACAAAAAGGTTGAAAGAAGAAGATTGGAGAAAAATACTCCAAACCCAACTGAAAGAAAACTTCTTTAGCTCTGTTAATATTAGAGTAAATAGAATTTAAGGCAAAAAAAGGATTATTTGAGATAAGGGAATATTTCATAAAGGTAAGTTCAGGTCAGCAGAATATATGACAATTCTGAATGTGTATATACTTAAATATAAAGGAAAAACCAATAGAGCTAGAGTGTATTTCTTACCTGGGTGAGACTTTTGAACCATTGAGTCAACAAAGGTGAATTTAAAAAAGCAAACCATAAAAGGAAACAATAGAAACAAATGAACCAAGTTATATATTAAATTGATTACCTTCTTTTGTTTTGGTTGAATACTTTTAAAAAATTTTTTCCGTTTTTAAACTTTTTCCATTTTTTCTTCTCTTTTAGTTTGTAAATCATATCTCAATTTAACCCTTTTCTGTTTTAGTAATTAGGTTAAAACTTACGACGTGCATCCTTGGTTTATCAAAGTCTGTAGTTTTAATAGGTATTTTAAATGTCTCCATAGATAAGGCAAAATCTTTAGAAGGCTTGAGTCCCATGTATCTCCATCCCACTTTGTATACTATTGTTGTCATATATTTTAAATTGTATAAGACGTAATCTGTAGCCCCTTGTGCCGTAGTTTTTTGTTTATTGATTCTACCAGTTCATGTATTCCTTCTCTCCTTGTGCTTTGTTTGTCGCTGATGTATGTTGGTCATTGTCTTTGGGAAGTTATTTATAAAAATAGTTTGAGGCCTAGGATGATACTCTCTTTTTCCAGAGAGGATTTTCCTTTGCTTCTGCCAGGCTTCTGGGGGCACCGGCAATGTGGGATAATGTTAATCTGATTTAAGGGATTGAGCTTTTCTGAAGTATCCAGATGGCTTGAAGCTGGGCTGGGCTGCAGCTCGTGTAAAGGCTAGTTTACTTCTGCTTCATCCTTGAGTTTAGTCCCTCATGGTCCCAACCTGAAGCATGAGGGCTCCCGGGGTCCCTGCCCCATGCAGGCCCTGGACTCCAGTTTTTATCTTCTTAGTCCTACAGCGCCGTCCCAGGTACTGCTCGACCTCTTGGCTGCCACTCCCTGAACAGTTCAGATGTTTCTAAGGGGAAATACTAGCCTGACTCTTGTGGGTTTCCACATTCTTCTGGATCTCAGCACAGTAATTCTTCACTGTTGTGTGTTTGTTCTCTGATGCCTTCAAATAGATATTTTGTATATGTTACATTTTAAAGCTCTTTTTTTGAGTAAGTGGTTCTGTCCACGTAATCCCAGTGCTTTGTGCTTCAGGGCAGTGTGTTGCTGGATTGGGCAGTTGGTACTGAACTTCTGTATTCTAGTGCTTGCTCTGCTTTCCCAGCCTCATTTAGTTTACAGCTTCCTTTCCACTTTGTTTGAAATGCTGCCAACAAGCTCAAAATTCTTATATGTACTTGGATCTATTTCTGGATTTTCTCCTGGGATTTTGAAAGTGAGGAACAAAAGAGGAAATTTCTTGGTTGAAAACTAAAATAAACTTAAGGAAAAGAAACTTATCAGCTACTTTTTTTGAATATTCTGATTTTATCTATTTTGGCTTTGTAGCAATTTTTAAGAAAAAATTTATAGTACTGTATAATCAGTATTTGAAAATGTTGACTGGCTTCAACTACCATTTTGAAGTATATACAGAGTCCACTAGTGCTGTGGACTTGCTTTAACTTAGTACAAGGGTTTCATATCCTTTAAGTTAATCTTATTTAAAATAATTCTGTTAGAATAAATGCTGATTTCTTATTGTTTCATAGTTTATCTTGAAGAATGTGAACTAGCTAAACAACTTCATCCAAAGGAAAATGATTTGGTGTTTTTGGTTCCTGAAAGACTAAATGGAGAGAAGAAAGCTATAGAGAGAAATTGCATGCAAGACCCTCATGAATATCATTGTGGTTATGTTCATAAATTTCGCCGCACTTCAGTCAGTAAGTAAATAATGAGACATTGAAGAGAAATCTGTCAGATATAAGCTTATCTTTCGATTTCCTTCTAAATTGTGCTTTACCAGCCATGTATTTGCTGTACATTTACCAGAGGTGCATTTATTAGGTTAATGACTTGTCATTTGGAGTCCTTTTATAGTTTTTCTAGAGTCAACTGGAAAAGGCCCAGTATTTGTTGCTCTGGACTTATGATTTAAAAGTTTTCTTTTGTAATGTCCTCTCCTTCTAGTACATTCCTTCATCCGTCATTATATTTGTTATAAAACAGACAATTTACAAGCCATTCTGTTTGTTATATCTTAAATCGTATCCCAACTTTGGTTTAGTGGCTAATAATGAGAACATACAACTCATTGTTAGGCAACTTGAGGGGTTTAGTTTCCATCACTCCCCTCCATTGTGTTGCAGGGGTTTCTCTCCCGAAGGTAGCATAACAAAAATAATTTTAGCTTGATTTTAACAAGTACCTACTATGTGCCAGGCAGTGTGCCTTGTCCTTCCCATACACATTTACCATCTTCCTCAAAGTCCTAGAAAGCAGTAAGAATTATTTGTTCCCTGTTCGTCAGGAAATCAGGGCTCAGGGATGTGAAGTAACTTATCCAAGGTTGTCCTCGGTGTTAAATGGTAAGTCCAAAATTGAGACCTATGTTTGTTTGACTGCAGAATCCACGTTCTTTATTATATGCCAAGCTGGCGTTTAACATTTGCCGCTTTCTTTGTCTCAGTTATGTGACAAGAACATTACTTCATTATTCCTTCACCTTTTTGCATCATATCTTAAAAAGAGCAACAAAGCTCCTTAGAGTTCAACGTTGTACTGTGTTATAACTTGTGGTACCATATTTATTTTAAGTATGACCAGTGCTCAGTTCTTTGTGAAGAATGCATTTAGAAGAATACCAAGAGGGCTATATAGCTTAGTCTCTGCCTTTGACTCTTGCAAATGATTACATTTACCAAATTTGTATTTCTAAGGTAGTCTCCTTCCCTGAACTCCTCATTCATCCGACTATCTGACATCTCCTTTTGGAGATCTATTAGACATTTCTAACCTAGTCCGAAAAGAAACACTTGATTTTCTACCTGGCATCTGCTGTTCCTTCGTTTTTTTCCATCCCAGTAAGCAGGGCCTCTGTTCTAATTGCTCAGGCCTAAACCTCAGAGTCATCCTTCACCCCTTCTTTCTTTCACACCCTCCATCTAATTCATTAGCAAATCCTAATTTGCTGTATAGGCATACTGCGGAGATATTGCAGGGAAGGTTCCAGACCACCATGGTAAAGCAAATAAAGCAATAAAGGAAGTCACATGAATATTTGGTTTCCCAGTGTATATGAAAGTTATGTTTACACTATACTGTAGACTGTTAAGCATGCAGTAGCGTTATATCTTAAAAAACAATGTATACGCTTTAATTAAAAATTATCAAGGCCAGCCCAGTGGCACAGCAGTTAAGTGTGCACGTTCCGCTTCGGCGGACTGGGCTTCGCCAGTTTGGGTCCCGGGTGTGGACATGGCACTGCTGGACAGGCCATGCTGTGGTAGGCGTCCCACATATAAAGTAGAGGAAGATGGGCACAAATGTTAGCTCAGGACCAGTCTTCCTCAGCAAAAAGAGGAGGATTGGCAGATGTTAGCTCAGAGCTAATCTTCCTCAAAAAAAAAAAAAAAATTATTGTTAAAAAAATGCTGACCATCGTTTGAGCCTTCAGCGAGTCACAGTTTTTTTGCTGGTAGAGAGTCTTGTAAAAAATGCAGTGTCTGTGAAGCTCAGTAAAGTGAAGCACAATAAAATGAGGTATGCCTATATATCCAAAATCCAAGCCCCATCTCTGCTACTGCTACATTCTGGTCCACACTACCATTAACTTTACGTAGATCACTGCTGTAGCCTCCTGTGTGGTCTTTGTGCTTCTGTGCTTTTCTCATTGTAGTTTATTCTTCATTCTGCAATAAGAGTGGTTCTTTTAAATGTGTGAGTTAGAGCGCGTTGCTTCCCTGCACAAAGCTGTTGTGTATCTTTCTCCCTGGCTCAGAATCATGTTCAGAGTCAGTATTATGGTCTGCAGGGCCCTGTAAAATGTATCCTTGTTTTCCTCTCTGACTCTTCTAGTACACTTCTCCCTACTTTTCCTTCTAACCATACTAGCTTTCTCCCTATTCCTAAAATACTCGAGTCACATCTCTGCCTCGTTGTCTGTGCAATTGCTGATTCTCCACTGTAGCACTCTTTCCCCAGATAAGGTTGTGGCTTACTCACTTATTCCAAGTCTGCTCAAATATCTTATCTGAAAGACCTTCCCAGACTCTCCTACCTACAATAATACCTCCCACATATCCCTCATCGCTTCCTCATTCCCTTTCTCTGCCTTTTTCTTAGCATTTATCACCACCTGACGTGTGTATTTGGTTATCTATTTCCCTATTCTAGAAACTAAGCCTCCTGAGGACAGAAACATTGCTTGGTTCTTAGGAGGCATTCAATAAGTATTTATTGAGTGAATTATTTAAATAACATATCATACAAAAAACATAAGTTGTGAAATACCTAATTCTGAATAATCTTTTTAACTGGTCACTGTTATTCACTGGTAACTGAAATTACTTTTTCTCCTTCTTGATAATAGTGCGTAATGGGAAATCTGAGTATTCCCTTTCCATCCAGACTCAAGATAATTTGCCAGTCAATTTAAATGAACTCGTGAAATGTATTGTAATCAGTTCTCTGGTAACTACACAAAGGAAGTTGAAAGCCATGTCTTTGCTGAGTGGTCGGAACCAACTGGCCAGAGCTGTTCTGAATCCAAACCCCATGGACTTCTGTACAAAAGATTTACTTACTACAACATCTGACAGAATTGTGAGTGATGATTATGTAACAGGGAAAGCCAGAAAATGTCATTTCAGGATGTTAAAGCATTACGTTATTTTTAGCTCCTACATATGTGTGTTATATTTAGCTTGCACACACAGTGATACTGTTTAATGCTTAGTTTTCTTGAATATTTCAGAGTATGTATTAGATTAGCTTACCTCAGGAAAAAGGTATAGTACAATAAAGAATTGAGAGTATGCTTAAAGAGCAACATTAAAATGTGAAGGGAGGGGCCAGCCCTGTGGTGTAATGGTTAAGTTTGCACACTCCACTTTGGCAGCCCAGGGTTCACAGGTTCAGATCCCAGGCACAGACCTAGCACCACTTGTCAGGCCATGCTGTGGTGGCGTCACACGTACAAAGTAGAGGAAAATTGGCACAGATGTGAGATCAGCAACAATCTTCCTCAAGCAAAAAAAAGGGGGAAGATTGGCAACAGATGTTAGCTCAGGGCTAATCTTCCTTACCAAAAAATTAAATGTTAGGTGAAGATCCTACTGAACTGTTCATTAGACGATTAAAATTCAGGAATAGGAGTAGGTTTGATGGGAGTTAATTTTGCATTTAAGTGATCAGTGGAGAATTGACTGGTATTGTTGCAAGTACGAAGATGAGTTGTCATTTTGTGTGAACACGTATTTCTCACTGTAAGAGCTGTAAATAAGTTCCAGGAAATTAACACAGAGAATGGCAAAAGGAAAGTAGTACTTTTTGAACCCCTGCTGTGTGCTAGAGCTTTTTTGTACATTATCTCAGTCAACTCTCACCCTTTAAAGAATCCCCAATTTAATGGATGGCAAAGGCTGAGGCTCAGAGAGGTTAAGAGTTTAGAGACCTGGCTTGTGAGTGAAACTGAGGTTGAGACTCAGGTCTGACCCCAAATTCATGCTCTTTCCACTATATCACTTGTGTTAGGAAAGAAAGTCTTGGAATGTTTTTAATGTCTAAGGAGAGGATTGACTGAAATGAGAAGCACCAAAGAATAAATAGAAGAAAAGTATAGAGCAATTTATTGTGACCGTCTTTGTAGGAATCACAAGTAAAAATACAGTTGCAGTGTTTGTGGATGGGCTGAAGCGTGCAGATGTGCATAAGTAACTTTCTTTCCAACAGTGAGCACGGTTCTTAGATTAAAGGTCACTTTGGGGCCTTACCTGATCGTAACCAAAGCTTCTGTCTGATAAAGATTAGAAGAAAGTCATCCTTTCTATTAGCATCTTCTTTTGTGCCACTATAAGAACAGCTCATTCTCATTAATGTCTTTTGTATAGATTGCCTACCTAAGAGATTTCAATGAAGACCAAAAGAAAGCGATAGAAACTGCATATGCCATGGTGAAACACTCCCCATCAGTTGCCAAGATATGTCTGATTCATGGACCACCTGGAACAGGAAAATCAAAAACTATTGTTGGCCTCCTCTATCGCCTACTGACCGAGGTAGAATGTGTGTGAGGGCATCAGTGCGGTTAGTCGAGTGCATCATTTTACTTGACTTGCATTAACTGACATATGTAAATAAACATTAAAGTGCCTTTTTCCCTTCACTTTTTTGTATCTTTCTGATATTGTGTGGAACCATATCTGAGAAAGGGGTAGCAGGGGGAGAGAAGGGTATAAGAAGTAAAAAGAGCAGAAAATGCAATCTTGTGTGAAACTAATTCTAGGGGCCATGGTGATCTTCTGGCTTTATTATAGGTCACAGTGAATGCCAGGAAAACATCTTGAATGTATTCCTGGGCTACATTTTGGTTGGATTGAGTATTGAGTAAAATAAGTAGATAGAAGGTAAAGCTCAGAGAAGTTGATAAACTTATGCCAGAGTAATTTTAATATCAGTGTAAGATATAGATGCTTTTATTTATTTTTAGTTATTTATAAGGGGAACTTTGAGCATATTTGGAAGTAGAGAAAAACTGTAAAACTACATAATAGAGCTCATCAGAACTTTTTGTTTGTTTGTTTGTTTGGTGTGTGTGTGGCAAATTGTAGAACCATAGGAAGGGGCATTCAGATGAAAACTCCAATGCCAAAATCAAACAAAACCGTGTCCTTGTGTGTGCACCTTCCAATGCAGCTGTTGATGAACTTATGAAAAAAATTATCCTCGAATTCAAGGAAAAATGTAAAGACAAGAAGAATCCTTTGGGTATGTTACTTATGTGGGCTTTTAATTTTTTTTTTGTTTTCAATGTTTAGTGTGGGCAGATTTGAATGACAAAGAGCAAGCTAATTCTGGTAATGAGTTCTACTTGTGGCTGTGGCCCCGTATGTACTCATTGATTCCTTTAGCAAGTATTACTGAGCATTTACTCTGTGCCAGGCACTGTGCTAAGTACTGAGGTTTCAGCACTGAAGCCTTCAGAGAGATAGTCTAATGAGAAAGTGGATGGATCAGTGGGCAACTATAATATAAAATTCTAAGTTATATATAATAGAAATAATGTGTGGGTACTTTCACACCTCAGAGCAGCCCTTGATTCAGTTGTGTGAGGGTTAGGGAAGACTTTTAGAGGAAGTGATATCTAAGATGAAACCTGAAGAGCACTGAGGACTTAGCCGTGGGAAGTGAGCTGGGAGGGGACAAAGCAGAAGTTACTATAAATAAAAATGAGCAGAGGTGAGAGAACCTCAGCTAGTTGACTATACCTAGAATATAATCATCTCCACAAAGGCAAGGATTTTCTGATTTGTTCACTGTGGCATCCCCAGTGCCTGCTGCTCAGTTGGGGCTTAGTAGATATTTAGTCAGTGAAAAGCTGGAGCAATCATCGTTTATAGTTATGGAGTGCTTTCTCTTTGTCAGTAATCCTCAAAATAATCCTGTGAGCTAAGTATTAAATAACCCTACTGTCTGCATTTTATAGGAGGAGAAACTGAAGAGTAGAAACGTAAAGTACACCACAGGGGTAAATTTTTTCAGTACGATTGAGTTTGGTGAAGAACGTTACCGTAATGGTGCGGGACACTTGAGTGAAGATGTAAAATAATTTGTTTACTTAACCTTAACTCATATTTTATTCTCATACCACCTATTTTGAGTGGTGTGATTATTGCTCTGTATTAGACGACTTTTCCAAGCTCGTATATCTTGTCTTCCCTAACCAAATTTTCTTTCCTTGAAACCTCAAGGAAATGCCTTTTATCACTTAGGATGAGATTTGGCTGCAGAATAGTAGCGACTCCAAATACGACGACTTCCGTATGATAGAAATTTCTTTCTTTCTTGCTCAGAAGCCCAGGGAGCAGCACTTGAAGACTGGGAGTGGTATGATGACTCCCTGCTTCAGGGAGTCTTCAGAGACCCAGGCTCCTTCTGTCTCGGTGCTCTACTGTGTGTGGCCTCCATTCTTTAGTGCTCATGGTCAGAGATGGTAGTCCAGTAGTCACATGCAGCAAGCATGAAGAAAAGACAAAGAAAGGGCAAAGGGAACATACCAGCTATATTTTAAGAAAAGTTCCTAGTTTAAGGAAAGGTGCAGCTGGCACCTCTGGTTATTTTCTTTTTGCCAGAACTTACATGGCCACACCTAGCTACAAGAGAGCCTGGGATATGTCGTCTTTATTCTGAGGGATTAGACACGTTCTTTTCTTTTACTACCTACTTTTACTAATAGGTTTACCTACGTATAGAATTCATTTGCTTTTAAAACTTATAATACATTGTCAGTCTGCAACTCTTCCACTTACATCATCATGTTTGTGCCAGCTCTGGTGGTCTGGTGGTTAAGATTCGCCACTCCCATCTCTGTGGTTTGGGTTCGTTTCCCTGTCAGGGAACCACACCAGCCATCTGTCACTTGTCATACTGTGGTGGCTGTGTGTTGCTGTGATGCTGAAAGCTATGCCACTGTTATTTCAAATACCAGCAGGGTCCCCCATGGTGGACAGGTTTCAGCAGAGCTTCCAGACTAAGACAGACTAGGAAGAAGGACCTGGCCACCCACTTCCAAAAAAATTGGCCACGAAAACTCTGAATAGCAGCAGAACGCTGTCTGATAGAGCCCCGAAAGGTGAGAGGGTGATGCAGAAAGACCGGGCAGGCTTCCGCTCTGCTGCGCACGGGTCACTGAGAGTTGGAATCGATTCGACGACACTAACAACAAATTATGTTTGTGAGATTTATGATTTTATGTATTGCTGTATATCAGTACAGTCATTCATGTTAATTGCGATAGGATATTTCATTCTGTGAGTCCACAGTTTATTCATTATCTGTTGATAGAAATGTAGGTTCTTTGCCATTTTTTGTTCTTTCAAACTTCATTACAATGAGCAGACTTGTACATATTTCTCCAGTGCAGGTATAAAAATATTTACTACCGTGAATGAATGAATTCTAGTATGTTATATTATCAACAGTTAAATGGAATACACCAAAGCACTACATTCTTACTTGTGTTTCTTGTGTATTCATGCAGCTTTCTAGGGCAGTGCTTTTCAAATTGTGGCTTGTAACTAATTAGTGGATTGTAAAATCAGTTTAGGGAGACCAGAACCAGCACACTTAAGCAAGATAAACTAGAACAGAAGAGAACAGAAAAGATCAGAGTATAGGTAGTAAGGGTAAGTATTGTTTTGTGAAACCTGTTTCGTTGATGAGATGTGTGAGTGTACTGGATTTCAGTGTGAAGTATGCTTCATACTATAGGCCAAAGTCGAAAGAGTTTATTAAACTGGTCTAGTGCATGTATACCTAGAAGTGAAAATGTTGGGTTGAAGAATTTGTGCATCTAGCTAGTGCCAAATTCTTCTCGAAAATGGTTTACCAGTTTACACACCTAAGAGCAGTTACTGTGGGTGTGCGGTGGCGCAGTTTTAACTTGCTTTTCCCTGAGTGAGGGTAAGCTCTTTCTCCTGTGTGTATCGATGACGCGGTAGGGCTGGGACTAGGATGGAGCAAGCAAGGCATCTAGCTTGGGTTTATTTGTCAGAAAGAAAATGATACCTTTTGTCAGTAAAGAGAGCTTTTTTCTTCTTTTTCGGTACCTTCATTTTCACTAGTGGTCCTTCCTGGGTGTCCTTTAAGGAAATATCTCAGCATCTCACCATTAAGTATGGTGTTTGTTTCTAGGTTTTGGTATATACCCTTTATCAGGGGAAAGAAGTTCCCTTCTCAGTAGAATTTCTATCAGGAATGGGTGTTGACTTTTATTGCATGCATTTGTGGGTTTTTTTGCATCCGTTGAAATGGTAATGAAATTTTTCTTCTTTAATCTGATAATGTGGTAAGTTACAATATTTTTCTAATGTTAAAATTGCTCTGATTCCTTGAATAGTGCCAACTTGCCCATCTTAGTATCATTATTTTTTAACACATTGCTGGATAGCTAATGTTTTATTTAGGATTTTAAAAATTAGTATTCATAAGTGAGGCCAGCCTGTAATTTTTCTTTGTTATATCTTTGTCTAGTTTTAATATTGAAGTTACACAGACTTTAAAAATGGAGAATTTTTAAATTTATTCTTTGGATGTTTTGTATAAGAAATCTCTTTCTTGAAGGTTATTTTTAGTGTTGTTTGGGTTGGGCTTTTTTTTTTGTCTGTTTTTTGACAGATGGGTAATTTTTTTATCTGTTGTCTAAATTTAGTCTTTAATTCTTATAGATCTATTCAAGTTTTCTAGATTTGAGTTTTACTAATTCATATTTTTTAAGAAAAATTTCCACTTCCTCTTAGGTTTTCAAATATATTGGCATAAAGTTGTTTGTTGCATTCTCATTTTTAAAATCTCAACGGTATTTTGGTTGGGTCACCTTTGTCATTTCGTGTAATATGTATTTAGTCTCTAAATCCACATGCGTCACAGGCCTATGGTTGCAAGGTTTTAGCAGAGAATTTATTTTTTTCACAGCTAAGCCCGGGCTATGATAGTCACTTTTTTTCCATGCCTCCATCTTTTCCAGGTCCTTTTGCTTTTTAGTGGGCTTTAAAATCTAAGACCCCATTATAAAATTTATATATCTTGATTGGAATAGTAGTTTTGTCCCTGTACACATTTGTCAAACTCTGTAGAAGTAAAGATTTTAAATCTGTGCATTTTATTGAATGTGAATTTAAAAGTCACCACCTCAGCACCTAGACACTGGCCAGCCCTCCCCCCGCAGGGAAGCCACAGCGGCTCAGGGGCTGGCAACTCTGATGTTCAGCTTTCTTTTTGTTTTTGGCCTCTAGGAATTTTCCTTACATTCTTAGGAGCTCAGTTTAAAGGATTTCTGTTATAATTTATTAAGCATTTCTAGGTATTTATAATGGGTGAGTTTCTAGGTAATCTCATCCATCTTTCTGTTGGAAACACAAGTAAATTAGCAGTTTTGAAACCTTGAAGTAAATAGGCCAGAGAAGATGGCTTCACATTTAGAAGAATGAGCTGAACTACCAACAAAAATATGTTGTAGACAGCTGTGTAATAAGCCATTCATTCAGCATAGATTCTTACACTTCTGATGTGCTAGCCGCTGTTCTAGGCAGTGACCAAAACGGAACCCTCTTCTTCTGGGACTTGGATTCAGTGGGAGGAGACAGGCAGTAAACACATAAGCATGTGATGTGTCGGAATGGGTGAGTGCTGATGAACTCTGTGTGATTGCTATAATTTAGCCCTGTGATGCAGTGGGAGATTTTTAGGTTAAATAATATCTACAGTGTAACCTAAAATAAAAATGTGGTTAATAAACAGTCCAGTTAAATGATGTTTATAGCTTTTGGAATTCCCATACTCTAGAATTTCCAGCATCTGTATCCCTTAAATTCTGGAGTAGCCATGTGTTGTGGAGCAGAGTTTAAAAACTTCATTCTGAATATTCTGCAGAAAAGGATTTGGTGGTCAAATAAGATTCTGTTTTGGAACTTCAAATATATGCTAACATATAAAAGTCTTTATATATCTTCGAAATAGCCTTTGGTTAAGAAATACGTTTTTTGAGCCAGCTTTGATGCCCTAGTGGTTAAAGTTTGGGCACTCTCACTGCTTTGGCAGCCAGGTTCATTTCCTGGTCATGGAACCACACCACCTGTCTGTCAGTTACTGTGCTGTGGCAGCAGCTCACATAGAAGAACTAGATATACCCATCCCCTGGGGCTTTGAGGAGGTGGAAAAAAGGAAGATTGGCAATAGATAGTAGCTCAGGGCAAATCTTTCCCTGCAAAAGAAAAAAAACTCAAAGAATCTTTATTAAAAGATATGTGTGTTTTTTATTTTAACTCAACATTTCCCAAATAAATCTTACTGTGGAAGGTTGTACAGAATGTAGTTTGAGAAACAGTATGATAGAATCTCAACTCTGCAGCATACTGTTCATGTGACCTCACTAGCCTTTATTAGGTAGAAATGATAAGTACTTGCCTTATAGGGTTGTTGTGAAGAATATCTAAAATAATGCGTGTGAAGCCTCCAGCGTAGTTCCAAGTATGGAGCTGATTGATAGCTCATGTTAGCTCCCTTCTCTGATTGGTAATGTATTTGGTTAGATATAGATAATATATACAGAGGTTGGCAGTGTCCTTATTAATCTCTGAGTGTGATTTTTATCAACAGGAAACTGTGGAGATATAAATTTAGTACGTCTGGGTCCAGAGAAGTCTATTAATAATGAGGTCCTAAAATTCAGTTTGGACAGCCAAGTTAACCACAGAATGAGTAAGTACTGAGTAAGGTAGATACTAATGTTTTTCTATTTCCTTTTGTATGGTAGAAAATGGCTTGGACATTAAAGGTAATTTGGAGACCTTAGCAGTATTCCAGCTTTGAGAACTAGTTTTTCTTCTCATTATGTATGCATATGTGTGTCTGTTAGAATTAACATATAATTTTTTTCTTTTTTTGTTTTCTTAGAAAAAGACTTACCTTCTCATGTTCAGGACATGCATAGAAGAAAGGAATATCTGGATCATCAACTAGATGAACTTTCCCGCCAGCGTGCTTTATGCCGAGGTGGAAGGGAAGTACAGGTATCTGAACATTTCTTTCTCTTTTCTTCGTTTTCTTTTCTTTTCTTTCTCCTTCTTCTTCTTCCTCTTCTTCTTCTTCTTTTTGGTGCCGAAGATTGGCCCTGAGCTGACATCTGTTACCAATTTTCCTCTTTTTGCCTGAGGAACATTGTCACTGAGCTAACATCTGTGCCAGTGGTCTTTTGTTTTGTGTGTGGGACACCACCACAACATGGCTTGATGAGCGAGCGGTGTGTAGGTCTGTGCCAGGGATCTGAACTCACGAACCCCAGGCGGCCAAAGCAGAGCACAAGAACCTAATCACTGTGCCACCAGGCTGGCTCATTAACATTTCTTGATTAGTGTTTTTTAGTAACTGTTGACCTTTAAAAATAAAACAGTCATTTTACCAACAAAAATGGGTTTATTTGGGAATAGCAAAGAATTGCAATTTGAGACATGCAATCCATGGCGAACCACAGGCAAGTCTGGAGGACACAGGGAGAGGAGAGTTGTTTTAGAGGAGGTCAGGGTGTTGGGGACAGCTGTTATGAACAGAGAGTCCATTGGAGGAAACTGGGAGTTGAAAGGGTAATGGCTTTTCGTTGACTGAGTTGTGATAGTCCTCACCGGCTGAGTTGTGGCCAGGCAAGGAGAAGACCTTCCTGCCTCCTGCTGGGGCAGCAAAACAGGCTTCTTCCTCTTGGGTCTGCAGTTGACATTGTGTGGAGGGCATGAGCGCTCCCCCTTCTGACCTCCTGACTGTGTTTTAAATGAGGTTCCTTTTTCCAGTCATGCGCCGTGCAGCGGTTGTCTCAGTGATGGACTGCCTGTACGACAGTGGTCCCATAGAACTGTAGTGTGTAGCCTAGAAGTGTAGGCTGCATCATCTAGGTTTGTGTAAGTATGATGTTCTCACGACAAAATCAGCTAATGACACATTTCTCCGAATGTTTCCGTGTTGTTAAGTGATGCATGACTGTGTTAATTTTCACAACTAATAGGTACGCAAACTAGTTGATGAGTATTTGGTGCCATTGTTGTGGAATGGGATAATTTGTGTATAAAAATGTATGCAAAAATGGTATGCCTTACATCAGGGGTTAACAAACTTTTTTTGAAAAGGACAATATAGTAAATATTTTAGACTTTGTGGGCCATATGGTCTCTGTTTCAGCTACTCAACTGTACTGATATAGCATGAAAGCAGCAATAGATAATACATAAACAAAAGATGTGCCTGTGTTCCGGTAAAACTTTATTTATAAAAACAGATGGTGAGTTGAATTTGGCCCACAGGCTGTAGTTTGCTGTTGTCTGCCTTATATTAAAGCTATATTGAATTTATTAGGTATCTTTTGGTTGCGAGTTAAAGAAACCGAATTCAAGTTAAGTTAGACAAAAGGGAATTCACTGGTTTATGTATCTGGGAAATCGGAGAGTGGATTAACTTCGGCATAGCAGGATCCAGAGGCTCAAATGATGTCATTTCTCCACTCCTTGATTTGTTTTTCTGTGTGTCAGGCATTTTTTCTCCAGGAGAAGACAAGTGCCAGCATCTCTGAGCTCCCCACCATCCCAGCTTAGAAAACTCATAGGGAGGGGAGGTCTCTCCCAGTATTCACGCATCAATTCCAAGGAAGGACTCTGATTAGTCCCTGGATGTGCAAGCAGGTCTAATCCTTGTTTTTAAGGGAATGAGTGCCATGATTTACCAGGCCTGTGTTATATGCCCATGCCTGTGGACAGAGGAGTGATTGGGGTGTGATTGATAACCTCATTTGAACCCCTAGAAAATTAGTGGAGGAATGATGCCCCAAGGGTTGGAAAGCTAAACAAACAGAAATAGCATAGATGCCATACACTGGACATAACTGAATCTTACACAATGTTGAGAATTTATCAAATTAATGCTTACTAAATGGAGCACAGGGTGGTGGGCTGCTGGATAGTGAACTGCCATTCAAAAAGAGACCACCAGAGAAACTGGAATAGAGAAGTTTATTGCTCACAGGGCCTGGAGGAAGTATACCGCACGCCTCCAGGGGCCACACGGGGAGGTGAAGGCGGAGGGGATTGGGGCAGGTGCCTTTATAAGGTCCATGAGCAGAATGCTGTGGGGTTCCTGGGCTTGGGCGGGACTGGTCGATGCAAACCAAAGGAGCAGGTTTTGGTAAGCCCCAGGGGGTCTGCTCTAAGGGGCACGTAAGGGGCAGGCGCTGGGGGCAGGGGAGGCTGATTGACCCCCAAGGGTCGTTGGGGAAGTCACCTCTGGAACTTACATTTGCTTGTGACTCTGCTGGCTGCTGTCTGGGGCACGCGCCTGTATGAAGGGGCTGGTGTCAGTTTAAAGTCTCCGCAGGCCACTTGGCCAAACAGGATGAATAACCGAAGCAGCAAGACCATGCAGCGGCTTGGCTAAACTCACAACACGCAGCACGTAGAAAGTGCATCAAGACTTTACTGGGAAAGAGAAAACAAACGGGATGAATAAGTTTTTCTTTGGTAAAGTGTAGGTTCACTCTTTTGAAATGTGAGCCAGTCCTTTGGAAGGATTTTTAAATGCTTGGTTTAATTTTAATGATGGCATTTTAATTTTTTCCAGAGGCAAGAATTAGATGAAAAAATTGCCAGCGTTTCAAAAGAAAGGCAGGAACTTGCTTCGAAAATTAAAGAGGTAGGTAGTTCACCTATAGCATTTTCCTAGCTTTTCCTTTTTCTTCTTAATTATGAAATAGGTCAGACAACCTATGAGTTTTTCTCAGTTACGTCTTTTAAGTTTTTATTATGAAAAGTTTAAAACATATACAAAAGTGGAGAAAATGGTATAATTACACATACATTTACAGTAGTACCCCCTTATCCAAGGGGGATACGTTTCAAGACCCCCAGTGGATGCCTAAAACCAGGGATAGTACTAAACCCTATATTTACTGTGTTTTTTGTATACATACATACATACATACCTATGATAAAGTTTAATTTATAAATTAGAGGAAGAGATTAACAACAATAACCAATAATGGTACAGTGATAACAATATGCTGTAGTAAAAGTTACTGTAGATCTTAGCAACCTCAGCATATTTTTTCCCTTTTCTTATTATGTTGAGAACCTGTACCTTTTCGTTTAAAGGAAGCAGTTTACAGGCTTCTCTTCGGCGTATCTGAATTGCCAGCCTTGCTACTCTTGCATTTTGGGGTCATTATTAAGTAAACTAAGGGCTCCTTGACCACAAGCACCACAATACCATGATAGTTGATCTGATAACCAAGATGGCTACTAAGTGACTAATGGGTGGGAAGCGTCTCCAGTGCACATCCGCCAGGGGTGATTCATGTCCCAGGAGGGATGGAGCACGACACTGTGAGATTTCATCGTGCTACTAAGAACAGTGTACAATTTAAAACTTATGAATTGTTTATTTCTGGAATTTTCCATGTAATGTTTTCTGACCATGGTGGACTGCAGTTACTGAACCTACAGAAAACAAAACTGCTGATAAGCAGGGACTACTGTACATTTTTTTCTTTAGCCTAATGATGAATTCTTATCACCACCTGGGATTTCTAAGAAAGAGGTGATTGTAAAATATCTTTTTCCTTCCCTAAGTCACGGTAAGTATTTTAAAAAATTCTCTTGTTAGGTCCTCTACTTCTCCCCCCGCCCTGCAAAATCAGTTAGGATCATTATTGTCAGATGAATACCTTTGTGTTTTCTCTATTAAAGAAAAAGAAAGAGAAAAGAAAATCGCATGTCTGAATTCAAGTGACAATGGCTGGGGTTTGGTATAAGAAAGTACAAGCACCTTTTTTTTCAATTTTGAGCTGAAAGTATAAACTCTTTGTAGTTGGGTTTTGGGGGATTTTTTTGGTGAGGAAGATTGGCCCTGAGCTAACATCTGTTGCCAATCTTCCTCTTTTTGCTTGAGGGCGGTTGTCCCTGAGCTAACGTCTGTGCCGGCCTTCCTCTATTTTTTGTTTTTGTGTGTGGCATGCCACCACAGCATGGCTTGGTGAGCGGTATGTAGGACTGCACCCAGGATCCGAACCTGTGAACCCTGGGCCGCTGAAGCAGAGTACGCAAACTTAACCATTATGCCACCGGGCCAGCCCCTCTTTGTGCTTGTTTTTAATCATAAGAATCTTTCTATAACATGTGACTTTTTCCCCAGTATTCTTTGGATATAAAAATATCAGCAAGATTTAGATTGATGGAAGCTAGGACGAGCCACATGTAGATGCTCACCCCACAATGCGGCTCTTAGAAAACCAGTCGGGGGTCAGAGAGAGAGAGGGTGATACCAACCAGTAATGTTATTAGTATTTTTGAGCTGAGATTTTTCTCTTGAATGTGTTATTAACCTTCTATATATGGCTAAATACAGTTGAATTTAACACATATTTCCATTAGCAGTTTATATAAATTAAAAATTATGTGGAAAGCTTTTTATTAAAATTTTAAATTGAGCCCCAAATAGTTAATCTTCCAAAATTTAACAGTGAAGTCCGTGTTTACAGCTGTTCTGGGTTTTGCTGCTCATCACGTTGTTCTGTGAGCCATTGAATTAATTAGACTTGGCAGTTTGCCTCACTAGGCGGCTGAAAGAGAGGTAGGTGACAGCACCGGAGGGCCGCAGCTCCACCTCTTCCTGAAGCCTTGGAGTCCATGATTGAATACGTCATTTGTGCAGGGATGGATCATTACCGCTTTTCAGGAGCAGAAATAGATTAACTGGATCTCTGATAAGAAGATTATCTTCTTAACTTGAACACTCAGTGGTATACGCTGTGAGGCGTCCTTTGCACTTTCTGGCTCCGTCACAGTTTATTGTATTATGGAAGTGGAGCAAGGTGGTTTTTCTTACTGTAGTAGAGTGCTGTCAGTTTCACAGGCATTTTGTTGGTACTAGCTTTTAAAAAGAAAGAACATTATAAACCTACAAACTAATGTAAAAACATATGTTCAAGCTTAGTTTTCACTGGTTTTACTCAGATAATTGCTTCACAACTCAGTAGAATTATTTAATCTCTGCTTATTCTGATACCTGCCCACGTGCATCTGGCTGTTGTCATTATAACTACTTTGACCAAATCACTCCCTGAATAGATTTTCTTAATGTGCGTAAATCATGTTCCAAACGTAGACTGCACTAGGAAGCAGTGTTCTTCCTGGTGTTGTCGGATTATCTTGAATCTTTCTGCTGTTTTCTAGATTTGAGCTTCTTCCTAATGTTTACTAAATATTATTCTGTCACGTAGTAAATGGTGGATGTTTTATAATAAAAATAGGCCTATAATAGTCAAGAATTTATATACAAGTTTGATATTGATTAACCTTTATTTGTTCCCTTAGGTTCAAGGACGCCCACAAAAAACACAGAATAATATCATCTTAGAGTCCCATGTCATCTGCTGCACATTGAGCACCAGTGGTGGTTTACTGCTTGAGTCTGCTTTTCGTGGGCAAGGAGGTGTCCCCTTTAGTTGTGTCATTGTTGATGAGGTAGGTAGGCAGTCATCCATACAGCTTTGACTAGTGTTGTGAGGAGTAAGTCTTAGACGAACGGTGGCTGCTGAGATGTTGACAAAATGGTCTTTGTGCATCTGATTCTTACCTGTCATTACATGGTATTCTCTTATGTTGAAATACGCTGCTAATGACTGATGATGGTTACAATTGCTTTTCTAGTATTGGGATTACAGTTTTAAAGATGCCTGATAATACCAGCAAAATCTCTCCCAAGGATTATCTAGCTCCTGCTTGGAATATCTATGGTTTACCTTTTGAAGCATTTTTAATATAACTTTGGACAGCTCTGAGCCACTATATTTTCAGCTAACGTCTTTTATTCCTAGTTCATTCATTGAGCAAACATTTATTGGGTACCTAGTGTTTGCCTGAATGTAGAGCCAAGAGACAAAAGAGATGGAAAATGAGATACAGAGAGTCAAATCAGGAGATTGAAGATCCACTATCACCAAAATGAAAGAATAGAAAAAGTAGAAGTGGTGAAATAATTGAAGAAAATGTGATCGAAGAGAAACTTGAGGCTTGGAATTGAAGAGGCCTACTGAGGAATAAGAAAGAAAGCCAGGCAGGAGGGTGGGGACACACAGACTCATAGTGCCCCCAGGCATGGGCTCAGCAGGAACGAAGAGTGCAAACCTGGGACGTTAACATGACCGCCTAGCTTGTGGCTGGTTCCCAAGTGTTTAGTGGCTCCTGACTGGTGACTGACTTCAAAATACATGTGTGATATGTTTTTTAAATGAGTATTTGTTGGTTTTTTTGTTTTGTTTTCTCACCAAAGAAAATCTTTTTCTGTGTGATATTTAGTGCAGGAGAGAGTGTGGTACTTTTCTGAATGGGTAGAACTTTTGTGAATTAGATGAACTGTACATGGATAAATAAATAGCAAAGACAATTAAGAAGTATTTTTCCATTCTATACTTTCTTACCAAGGCTGGGCAGTCTTGTGAAGTTGAAACGCTTACTCCACTTATCCATCGTTGTAACAAGCTTATCCTTGTAGGAGATCCTAAACAGCTCCCTCCCACAGTCATTTCTATGGTAAGTTTTTCATGTTCATATTGCTTTAAAGTGGAAGGCGCCGTTTGCTTGTTTTATTTTCATGAGGGGAGGTCTTTCTTGGATCATCGTCTCTTATTTGCAGGGAAAAGTAGGGAATGGCTGAGAAAAGAGAACCACTGTTTGAGTTTTAATAGTATAAGTCTCTGAAGATGTCCCTTTGTCCATAATTACACTTAGGTATATGTGTGACAGGAGCAGTAAAGGGTCAGAGACCAGAAAACTAGAAAGATCATATTCCACATGCTTTGGAGTTTTCCTTTGGGAAGGGCAGCGTACAGCTGTGTTAAGGGCTGTATTTCATTTATTTTCATAACATAAATGCCAAAACAATAATAAAAGAAAAACTTTAAGGGGAAGAATCCAAGCCTTCTGATTTATATTTAAATTTGTGCAAGTTTGAGGAAAACATTATAAAGAGAAGTTATTTTTATAGTACATTTCAAGTTTTAGGATTCTGTACCCTATAGTGCAAGAAAATATCTCTGCCTCTGACATCCTCTGAAAGGGAAGGTGACAGGAAAAGAAGAGATTATGAACTCTGCTGGTGGAAAGATCAGCACCTAGATTATGGTCCACTCCACTTGTTTTTTTTTGTTTGTTTGTTTGTTTTGAGGAAGATTAGCCCTGAGCTAAAATCTACTGCCAATCTTCCTCTGTTTGCTGAGCAAGACTGGCCCTGAGCTAATATCCGTGCCCATCTTCCTCTACTTTCTATGTGGGATGCCTGCTACAGCCTGGCTTAATAAGCGGTGTGTAGGTCTGCACCCAGGATCTGAACCAGCAAACCCCGGGCCTCCGAAGCAGAACGTGCCAACTTAACCGCTGCACCACCAGGCCAGCCCCACCACTTGATTGTTTTTAATCTCACTAAAGATGGCTCCTAGAAATGCACACCGGAATCAGGATGCAGTAGATGTTTGGGGTAATCTGAATAGGTCTAGACCATGGTTTTGAAATCTAATAAAATTTGAATATTTCACTAATACGTAGGTTATTTGTGCAAATATAGAGTAGTGGTTACATAAACAGTCCCAGAGAAGAGGTCATTTTCAAAGCATTTTTTTCGGTCATGAGATGAATGCATGTTGTTTTTGTTGTCTTTTTCAGTTTGGAATTATTCACAATGGTAGTGCAGTTCTTTGACATCTGAGCACGCATGTGTGATCATGTTAGATTGTAGCCTAGAAGCACACCTGTCCCTGTTTGAAAACCTGTTTAGCGGGGAAAAGCTGCTGCAGGTGACCTCATTCATGGGGAATAGTGAAGAGCCAGCTCTGTGTTGCGTTCCTTTAAGTAGTGCAGCATTTCGAAAATTCACTGATTCACAGCTTCTGTCTTCCAGGGCCTTGGCATGTAGTGAAAGGGTTGTTGATAGGCCTCAACTTTAATGCCTGCTTTGATGATTGATTAAAAACAGCAAAAATGAGAAAACTCCATTAGGGCTTTTTAAATTATTACAGAAATATTATGGAAGTATTACAAAAATAATACAGGCTTATTGAAGAAAATTCAGAAAATAGTTCAACGATTGCAGGATGTAACCCATCATTAGGTTTATGAAATCAACTTACTAAGTCAACTGTCTGTCACCTTCACTAGAGTATAAGTTCTGTGAGACTTAATCTTATTCACCTTAACAGTGTCTGGGGTCTGCTCAGTATATATTGGATGGATGGCTAAAGAAATTGGTCTTTAAAAGGCTCGTTTACAATGCCATTCAGTGTTTCTATTTGTGAGAGCATGCCCCGGAAATAATTGTTAAAATCTCTGCTACGTTTCTTTGCTTCTTTTCCCGTGATTCTTTCAGGTAACCTCTGTTAGCCTCAAAATGGCTTCGGTTGTGATCATTCCCAAGGTCATCACTTTCCTAAGCAGTATGTGGGTTTTCTAAATAAAGACAAAATACCTCAACTTTTAGAGTCAAGGGCCCGAGTCAGAAACATCATCTTTCTCTGAATCTTTGGTTGTTGGTAATGGCACCTAAACCTTGCCGTGTACAGATTAGAGCTCAGTAATAGTTTTTATAATAATGGGAAAAGTAAAAACAAATTCTGGGAGGTTTATTTTATTTTCCCCCTTTCAGAAGGCACAGGATTATGGCTATGACCAGTCGATGATGGCTCGCTTCTACAAACTGCTGGAAGAGAATGTAGAGCACAACGTGATCAGCAGACTCCCGATTTTACAGCTCACCGTTCAGTACAGAATGCACCCAGACATATGTCTCTTCCCTTCTAACTATGTGTATAACAAAAGCTTGAAAACAAATAGGTGGGTTCCATTCGTTGCTTGGTAGCGTATTTTACTTCTAGGTTTAGCTGCTTAGGTAGAATAGCTCTTGTACTATGTTCTTAAGTCTCATCATAAAAAGCATAAATCAAAGGTTTAATAATTTTTTCTTACTATAAAAGTGACGTTGATTGCAGCAAATGTGCAGATAAACAAAAAAAGAAGGTGGGGGGAGCCACCTATGTTATGCAACCCAGCAGTAATCACTGGTAACATTTTGCTATGTCTACTTCTAGTCCTTATACTATGCATATCTTTTTTTACTTTTTCTCTTTTTAAATTTTTGGGGAAAAAAAATTACACCATACTCTACATAGTATTCTGTGGCTTGCTTTTTCGCTTACTGTAATATTATGAGTAATTGTTATATTTTCATTACATAGATGATTCTCCCCAGCACTAGAATAGAAGTAAAATTCATTTTGTACCTTGCACTAAGACACATTTAACTAAAAGAAGGTCCTTCTGTCCCCTTATTTTCCCAGCTCCTTCCCTTCCCTAAAAAATATGGTAATAATAATGTAAAAAATATTTTTGTAGAAGTTGACTTGTATTCTGAATGGTGGCTGCTTTTTTGTAGACTAACTGAGACCAGTCGGTGTTCGTCAGACTGGCCATTTCAACCCTACCTTGTGTTTGATGTCGGAGATGGTTCAGAAAGACGGGATAATGAGTATGTTCTCTTCCTTCAATCGCCAGTGACAGTCCCAGAATTGTTATCTTATTTTTCTTCATATTTATGTTCAAAACATTTTCCATACACGTTTCTCTACTTAGTGCTAGGGTACAATAATTTTCATTTAATAAGGTTGATAGCTTCTCCTTTTTTATCACAAATTACTGATATCTTTCTCTAGTGTTTCAGCCTTTTAATTCTTCTTAACTGTATAATAGGGATCATATTTCCTAACGTGGTAAGTGCTTGAGTAGATCCTTGTTGAGATCACAGCTGTGAGTAAACAGACATGGCCCCAGTGCAAGGCTATTGTGGTATAATAGAGGAGACATTAACCAGGTAATCACCAAGGGAATCCATTATTCCAGTTCGGTGAAGTGTTGTGAAGGATAACTATAGGTTCATTTGAATTAAGGTGTGAGACAGAGGGTGGACAATACTTAGATGGTGGATTGTGAATAAGGGAACGTGTTCAGGTGGTCTGTGAATGACAACAAAAAGAAGTGGTGGTTGCTGATTAGGAAAGGAGGAGCTAGGGCTCCTTGTGAGAGGGGAGAGGAGTAATAGTGTGGAGGCTCAATTTGTAGTGTAGGCACAGATGCCACCTCGTATCCTGAAGTCTGAGGAAATAGAAATTCCACCTTCGTATCATGAGAGAGCTTCAGAGCAGGTGGTCTCCCCAGCGAGAATCAGATAGGAATAGAAGTGGAGGAAGGGAACATTCACTGAAGAAGATAGAAATACAGAGAAGCAGTTGGCCAAGGATTTGCAATGCCAGAGGGATTGTAAAGGTTGTGGTGGGGCCTGCTGGAATGGAGCAGAGGATTGAGAACTGAGCCCCGTAAGTGTTAGGGGGATGGAAGGTCACAAGAGGAATGCTGACCTGTGAGGTGACCAAGGGAAATAAAGATTTCAGGGATGGAAGAGATAGCTAGCTGACTGAGTTGTCTAATAGTAAGTCTTGAAGTTAGGATAGTGAGTATTTAAGGCTCGTAAAGTGAGGCAGCTAAAGTGGCCCAGGAAGAAAGGTGCAGGCGCAGTGCACCCCCCAGTGTCCGTACGTCCTGCCTCTGGGGTGTAATGAGGGAACACATGCAGGTTGGAAGCTGAGTTGGGAGTGCAGGAGGAGGCCAGAGATGCAGACGTTGAGGATATGAGTCTGCTGCAGGACCCCGTGTTGTTCATCTCTGGGGGCCACGTCTCATTTAGTCTGTGTAGATGATGCCCCCTCGATTGTGTGGTGCATGGTCTGCATGGCCAGTGCTGGGGAATTAAGGGAAATAATACATGTAAAGCAGTTTTCTCAGTGTTTGGAAGACAGTAAATCCTTAATGTTAGCTAGTTATTATTTGTGTCTTCATTACTATAAATACTTGTGTTCTTACTGTTGCTCTCCTTGTTTTAACCAATGAAGAAATTGGTACTTAAACTTTAGTTGACTCCAAACTCAAGTTTTCTCTCTCCTAACTTAATGTTTCACTTGGCACCTATATTTACTCATATATGATACCAGTGGTCATTATAACAGCCTCTCTGAGTCACTGCTGACTGAATAAAGATGAGACCTACCTGTCTGCCCTTTACTGTTTGCAACTTAAGTTAGCAATTGGACTGCTGTTAGTTTTGATGTGTTGGTGGTGGTTTTGTTTTTTTCTTTTCATCTTATTTAGCTCATATGTAAATGTTCAAGAAATAAAACTGGTAATGGAAATAATTAAACTTATTAAAGACAAAAGAAGAGATGTTACTTTCCGAAACATTGGCATAATAACCCATTACAAAGCTCAGAAGACGATGATTCAGAAAGATTTGGACAAAGAGTTTGACGGAAAAGGGTGAGACATCTATATTTTTACAGATATTCCCAGTTTTTCTGTTGAATTAAGACAAAAGAGGAGATAGTAGGAAAGAAGAAATGGAAACCTAACTCTCGGGAGTGGTCTTAGAGCATGGTAGTATAGCACAGGACACTGAGACGCTGGCTTCAATGGCCTTGTGCTGGGTAGGGAGTGGTTACTCTTGTAGCCTCTGTGGACAGAGTGCCTCCTGCCGCTTGGCATGTTGTCACCGTTACACTTGACAATGGAATTGACCAAGAAACTCTCCAGGCCCTTCCCTTTAGTTCCATGAGTTGTTCATCTGAATTTTAATTCTGGCAAGACTCATGAAGTCTCGTTTTTTCTTGGAGTAAATTATTTAACCTTTTTAGTGCCTTTACAGATAGGGTGAAGATCAAGTTTCTGTCTCCTTTTTACCTCAATGGTATAATGAACATTAAATATTTGGAAGATCGTTAACTCAGAAGTTTCTTAACCCAGAAACACACGAACTGCCAAATTGACTCTAGAAAAAATAGGAAATTTGAACAGACCTCTAAAAAGTACAGAGATGGAGTTAGTAATCAAATACTTCCCAACCAGGGAAAACCCATGACCAGGCTTCACTGGTGAGTTCTGTCAAACGTTAAAATAGGAATTAACAGCAGTCCTTCTCAAGCTCTTCCCGAAAGTAGAAGAGGAAGGAAGACTTTCTGACTCATTGCATGAGGCCAATATTACCCTCATACCAAAGCCGTGGAAAGATACTACAAGAAAAGAAAACTACAGACCATTATCGCTTATGAGTACAGATGCAAAAATGCTCAACAAAATAATGGAATATATCTGCTAAGTGTTTTGCATCCAGAATATATAAAAAGCTCATACAACTCAATAAAAAAAGATAAATAATTTAATTTTTTAAATAAGCAAAGGATTTGAATAGCATTTCTCAAAAGAAGATAAATAAATAGCCAAGAAACATGTAAAAGGATGTTCCACATCCTCACTAGGGAAATGCAAATCAAAACCACAATGAGATACCATTTTACACCCACCCAGATGACTATAAGAAAAAAAAAAACCAGTAAATAAGTTTTGGTGAGGATGTGGCGGGGAACCCTTGTACATTGCTGGTGAGAGTGTAAAATGGTAACTCACAGTGGAAAACAGTTCGGCAGTTCCCCAAAAAGTTAAACATAAAATTACCATGGGACCCAGCACTTCCACTCCTGGGTAGAGACCCGAAGGAATTGAATACATTGTGGTATGTCTGTACAATCAAATATTTGGTCACAGAAGGAATCAGAGATTCGGTCAAAATGTTACCTGCTACTGTTAGCTGCCCCCAGAGATGCTGCATGCTGTTATCATGTTACCTGCTGCAACATGGATGGACCTTGAGAATGTTGTGCTAAGTGAGGGAAGCCAAGTACAAAAGGCCACATATTTTATGATTCCATTTATATGAAATTTCCAGTATGGAAAAATCTGTAGAGACAGACAGTATATTAGTGGTTCCCAGGGCCTGGGGAGAGGGGAAAATTGAGACTGATGGCTAATAGGCACAAGGTTTCTCTTTCTCTTTCTCTTTAGATAGTGGTGGTGGTTGCACAACATAGTGAGTATTCTAAAAACCGCTAAATGGTATACTTTAAAATGGGAAATTTTATATTATGTGAATTTCAATAAAAAAAGATAACCATGAAAAAAGTTCCTGAAAAATACTACTGTATAAATATGTACATTTAATACATAGCTTACCTTTCCCAGTAAACATGTTTCTCTTTTGTAAATAGGCCAGCAGAAGTAGATACCGTGGATGCCTTCCAGGGGCGTCAGAAAGATTGTGTCATTGTTACCTGTGTCAGAGCAAATGCCACACAAGGCTCAATTGGGTGAGTAGCTGTCACTGCTTTGTTTGCTTATTTATAGTCCAGAGTTAGATCTGTTTTTGATCACTGTTAGAGAACACTATCGTTCGCTTTATTTTCTTTTATAAAAACTTGTGTAGTATCGTGAAGCTAGCTTTCTCAAGTTGTGAGGTTTATCCAGTGTTAGGTCTGCTTCTTTTAGTCCCTTGTGTGTAAACTCACGGCACAGTGTGGATCTGTCACTTTGTTTAATAAGAGTGAAATAAATCATTGGATCAAGTGTATTTTGTAGGGGCGTGTTCCTCTCCCATGTTGTGTCATAAGGTGGCTTTTCCTTGTCACTCTGTATTTTTGTGCTGTGGCTAAGTTTGTTAAACTTAGCTACTGTCAGTTTACTTAGTGAAGATGCTAAGGACACTGTAATAGGTGACAGAAAACTCTCATGAGTCTCAGGGCCTTGAGACTTACATAACTATGTTTTCCTTCTCATGAGAAGCAGATGGAATTTACAGATTGTAAATGTTTAATTGTTCTTAAAGAAAATAATAATTTATATCTGCCCCTATCTAGAGATAGTCTGCATATATAAATGAAGGCCAGTTATCTCAGGACCATTTTGTAAATAGTCCATTCTTTCCCAGCTAATTTGAAATTTCACCTTTGTCATATACCAGTTCTGTTACTCTTAAGCTCTTCTCAGATCTGTTGGTACATTTGTCTAATGTTTGTATGTTTCTACGTAGTTTCCACAATATTTTAATCTCAAATATACTTAAGGTAATTGATCTAGTATCGTATTTGTAGGATGTTTTTAAGGCTTAAAAAATCATACTGTTGAAATTTCCAGTATCTCATCCAAGTCAAAATAGGAAATTGACAGATACTTCACCTTGAAGGAAAACACCAGGCCTTTTGTGCATTTACTGGTTTGGATGGGAATTGCTTCTGTGCCAGGTACCTTGTGTTGGGAAGAAGAGTGAGAAAGCACTGTGACTTGAAAGAAATAGAAGGATCCCAAGCAAAGCTGTCTAGCATATTGCCTGTGTTCCGCCTGCCCTGTATGCCAGGCCATTCTGTAGAAAGAAGTAACATTTTTTTTTTAATTACTTAGATTTCTGGCAAGTTTGCAGAGATTGAATGTCACCATTACACGAGCCAAGTACAGCCTCTTCATCCTTGGTCATTTGAGGACCCTCATGGTAGGTACATTCTTGGGGACTAGAGAACTCAAAAGTTTGCCTATTGTTAATTTGGGTTGAAGTCTTGTTTTTATTTTGCATCAAAATGGAAATGATTTCAGGGTTACAAAACAATGAGCCTCTTCTCCCTGGTCGTTACGTCCTCCAGCACCTTCTTCCTGGAAGCTTTTATACATACAAACCGCTCGCCCTTCTTCAGCTCAAGGCCCAGGGGTCCACAGTACACTCTCAAAATGACCTTTTTCAAACAGATCTACACCATAGGATTGTTGAGAAGATTTGTAAATCCACACATGCAAAGTGCTGGGAGGGTGGTTGGCACTAGTCAGCACTGAGTGAATGTGGCTGTGACTGGCCCAACATAATGCCAGAGAGAGGGAGTTCGCAAGAGTTTGCTGGGATGATCTTCTCTATTTTGGCACTTAGAGCAGTCCTGCTCGCTCTCTCTCACCTGGGAGCTGAGTGGCATTAGCGCTCCTCTGTCAGCACAGATGCAGCTCTAGATGAGGTGGCAGGTTTCCGTCTTTGGTAGACGAATAGTAGAACTGAATTCGGTGACAGCACAGTTAAATAAAGTGTGTTTGCTGCTTGTCTCAGAGTTAGTCATAACTTTCAGTTTTTCTGATTTCTCTATTTAACGCATTGCACTGTTTATCTTAGAGGAGCTAACTTACTAGCTGTCTCCCTTATTTTGGTCGACACCACTAGAGGGCATTCAAAGATAGTCTTTCTCATTCAACTGTTAGCTCTTCTGTGTTTGTGTATCCCTTTGAAAGAATTTTTAAAAGCCGTGCCCCCTACTTTTAAGTTAATATTGAAAATTTTTTATCATAGTTTAAGTAGTGCTAAAGATTTCGTTTCTAATGTATTATAAATACTGACATTTTAAAATAAAGCTATTAAAAATCTATTGCATCTTAAATGAGTCTAGTGGAATAAAGAACAGTATTGGTATTTCTGCTTTTTGAAACTGAATTTCCATTTCTACTTGTTTAGGATAAAATTCAGTGGGGTAATTAATATATTTTTATAATAAAAGCCTTTCTGTTAATCTCACTATTATGCTTCTCTGCCACAAAAGTTTATATATAAATTGAAAGTTTAAAAAGTTGTTTTTCATAGCTGTTTGAGGAAATTTTGTGAAGGGTGCACAAAAGCTCTCTGTACTTTTTTCTAATTTCCTGTGAATCTATAGATACCTCAAAATAAAATGTTTTTTAAAACATTATTTTTCCTGTGACCATAGGATCTGAGCATTAAAAAATGCTTTGTCAATTGAATAACCTATTACAATTACTGTTTTTACACAGTTGAATGTTGATAATGTTTAAACCTGGAAAGTAAAATGTTATTAGAGCTGTGTGATGCCCTGAATAAAGAAGCCTTCGTGGGCACCCCTGTTGGGACTGCCCCCTTTATTTGGCGGCCAGGAGTTTTTACGAGCCCTGGCAGTGCACCCTGTGGTCAGATTTGGTGTGGATGCGTCATTGTGATTGTGAAGGATGGAGTGGAGGGGCAGGAGAGCCCCGGGAGGACATAGGAAGCTGGGCTTTGGAAACTGATTCCCCTAAAACAGTCTCACATCCCCCTTCGAAAGTCTTTGTGAGCCGCAGGGTCACACTTACACAGATTCAAAGACCACTGACCTCTAGCTGTGGCACAGACATTATTATCTTCACTCTCAGAAGCCAGTGCTGTAGAGAGATTAGAATAGAAAAACTTGCACTCTAAACTTTCCAACTTCCTTTTGTTGTCCTTGGGACTTGTTTTTCCTTTTTTTTCTTTTTGCCCTTACAGCACGGAATCAGTGATTAAGGCACTTGGTTTCCTCTAGAAACCAAGACTAATAGTGCTTTCTCAACACTGCTTTTGTGACCCTAGGATTGGATCACATAGCGGTGTAGGTGCAGTAGACTTGGCAGAAAAGCAGCAAGGCCATCTGCTGCGCAGCTGTGTTTCAGCCCCCGGGCCAGCCTCTAGGGCTCTCCTGAGGGAGAAGGAGGTCCGAGTGCAGAGCCTGGTGCTGCCCCCTGGGCCTGTCTGGTCTGTGCCAGTCCCTGGGCGAGCATTTTACTGAGGGCTTCTCTAAGACGCGCGGAAGTCCTGTGAAGTCAGCATTAGACCACAGTGTATCAACTCCCAGAAGCCGGTAATCGCAATATGTGTTACTACTTTATGTGCTGCTATTAAACTGTGACACCAACACCTTATTTTCACTTAGAATTTTTGTTGTATGTTCATTGAAGGGAGGACTCTTTTACACAGATTTTTATGTCACTCTTGCTTGTACGTAAAAGAGAAAATACAAACTATGTAGGTTAAGATATTCCTAAAAGTATTTCACTTTCAGAATCAAACACTACTTAATCCTTTACCGGCCCATAGTCACGAGTGTCCTTGTTCATGCACGCGCCTTCCCCTGTGCGTGTCCTCAGAGTGCCCACCGTGCTTTCTGGGGTTTTCTTCCACCCTCTGATCTCCATTCTCCAAGTGTGAATGCGGGTGCTTTCTTGTCTATTAGAAGATGTCTGGAGATAGGTTTTTAAGGCAAGATCCTGGACTCCGTCTCTCTTTAAATGGTTTATTGACTGAAAGTCAAGAGGTTGTAGTTGCCTAGCCATGAATTCCTCAAGTATTAGGTACATGGAAACTGCTACCTTACTAAGAGGCACCCCAAATTCAGAAATGGTAAAATGTGAAAACAATGTGCATTTTAGAATCAATTAAATAAAATATTATTCCTATTTTACAGATGAGGAAACAGGCTCAGAGAGGTCAAGTGACTTGACCAAGGTCACGCAGGGAGTAAATACTCTGTATGCAGCGTCACTGCTACCCTCACCCACCTTTGTGACTAGTACAGGAGCCCACACAAGGGTAGCTATCCTTTTTCTTTCTTCTCTTTCCTTCAGCCTTTGTCTTTTTTTTTTCTCCTTCACGCCCAGTCTTCTTTCTAAAGAGGCCCAAGTTCTGATGGCTGTGAGGAAGCCGTTTAGTGCTGAGGAGACTCTAAAGGGGAGAGCAGAGAGATGCATGCAGCTGGGACTGCTCTCCCTTGGATGTGCCCTCCGTAACTGAAGCTCCTCCGGGAAGGAGAAAGTGGGGCGATGTCTGTGGGATAGTATCTCAGTACATGAAGACTGTTAACCCTTTGGAGTTTAGGAGGCCTTTGAGAATTGGATGAAAGCTATGGACGTCTTTCTGGAACAGTCATATACACTCAGAATTTGGGACTTTCTGAAACCAAGCCTTCCTGTTTCAGAATGTTAGCCTTGCCAAGAGACAGGCCAGACTAGATCATCAGGGTCCAAGAGGGCTTTCTGGGATGTTGGAGTTGTTCTCTGTCTGCACTGTCCAGTACACCAACCACTAGTCACATGTGGCTGCTGAGCACCTGAAATGTGGCTGGCGCAGCTGAGGAGCTGAATTTTTAATTTTATTTCATTCTAACTGATTGACATTTAAATAGCTACATGAGGTTACTGGCAGCTGGTGGAGATCTCTGTGGCAGCCGACGACCATGTAGCCCGAGTACCAGTGGTAAACATGGTGGGAGTGCTTTCCTGTAGGTGGTAGCCAATGCTCTGTTCTGGTAACATGGCTTTATCATTCTCTATTCGAACTTATTTTTCCTTTCAGCTTTGCCTAACGAGTAATGGATTCTTGAGAATCTATTCGTGAAAGTATACTTCATGAATCCAGTATCCAGAAAGTGTTCAGAAATGAAAGCTGGAAGCTTATGTTTCCCAAACACATACGTATTTCTTTGGGGTATTAATTGTTTCTCCTTTCTCTTTTTTTCAAGGACAATGAGCATTGGAATGAACTGATTCAGGATGCTCAGAAGCGTGGTGCCATTATTAAGACCTGTGACAAAAACTATAAACATGATGCAATGAAGATTCTGAAACTCAAGCCTGTACTACAGAGAAGTCTGACTCACCCTTCAGCTGTAGCCCCAGAGGTGTCCAGACCCCAGGGCGGCTTGCCCAGCAACAAGCTAGACAGTGAATTTGCCAAGACATCTTTTGCTTCTTCCCTGTACCACACCCCCTCTGACTCCAAGGAAACTACTGTTACTGCAAAGGACCCTGAAAGGCCTTCTGGTCAGGACTGGCTTCGGGACCCACGACTGCTTAGGAGGATGGGCATGAGCCCTGAAGCCAAAGGGAAATGCCTAATGGATCCACAGTCCTTGAGCCCGCAGCATCCTGGAGCAACACCTCCCTCGGGAGAGCCAGGCTTCCCTGTAATTCACCAGGACGTGGGCAGCGTGCAGCAGTCCGCTGCCAAAGGAGCTACCCTGAGCAACCACAAACCTCATGTGCAGTGTGATCCTCCAGCTGCTAGTGGTGATGCTGCCACAAGTAGAAGAAAATGTGACCAGGAAGGGATGCTCAGCTACAGAAGAGAGACCAGGGCTTTCAGTGAAGGGGACCAGGAGAAGTACAGCTCTGTGAGCCATCACACAAAGAGGAACTCTGGCTGGGACAAGGAGGAGGAGGACAGTAGTTCAAAGAAGAGAAAAGTTTTATAGTACAGCCAAATGACAGAGATTATCAGCCACAAGCATTATTGCAAACTTAAGATGACCAGCTAATAGGACTGTTTAGATAAGATTACTTTTTCCCTTAAAGGAATGTGTGTGCTGTTGGAAAACATGGAAAGTGCATCCCAAACCCTGAGCCTCTCGGTCATCTTGAGTGCTTTCTGTCAGTTCCGGCAGCCTTCAGAGGGCGTTTGTGCATCAGTAATAATGTCCTTGACGTCAGAGACTTGAAGTGTTGGTCTCTTGTTCTTCTGTAGAAAAGGAGGTCAGACTGGAGTGAATGTTGTAAAAGTTGAAGTGTATATTTGTATAGCAAATAACAAAATCCTTTTAAAATTTAATCTAGTAGATGCTTTTGTTTCCCCTGCTTAAAATGTTAATCATTTTCAACAGAAGAAACTTTATATTTAAAAAAAAAAAAAAAGGCAGGAGTGCAGATCCTTTGAACCATTGTTATGGTAGGACAGGCCCCTTCAACGGCCTGGGGAGCTGGAATAAGCTGGCTTACTGTTTGGAATCGTGCTGGTGGGTCAGATGTCTCTAGTTCTAGTAAAAAGCAACTGGAGTCTCCTGGGAGAAACTTCGGGAAGCAGAGTTGTGTTAGGTAAGGCTCTGCTGACATTGCACAGTTTTAGACGAACGTTGGCACAGGATGTTAGATTTCTGTGACAAGTTCATCTACCTATTTTAGTAAGCACATAGTTCTCCAGCTAAAATTTGAATTCTTCTTGAAATAAAAGAAGATGAAATGAAAGAATAATTCTTGAAATATCACTCAAATACCCCCAGCATGTTGTGAGCTTCCTGTAAGTGGTGGGTTACAAATCTGCTGGGTGCCAAGTGCTGGATAGTGCTGGGTGGCTGTGTAGGAACCCCCTTGGCTTGCGTGTGAAGGCTTGCAGATTGCCAGGAGGCTCCAGCTAATGAGTTTTAGGTAGAGCCTGGAAAGCTGTGTGTTAAACTTCTTTCCAAGGAATTCTGGTCACCAGGCGGCTTGGGAACGATGAGGGCAGGCCACATAGGATATGTTAGGCAGGAAAGAAACACCCTTTTAAAAGACAAGGGTAGAAGAGGAGTGAAATACTTGGAACTCAGAACTAGCAAGAGAGTTGACAGATTTCCTATGATCTTTGGAAACTGTCTTCACTGATGAAAGTACACCGCTTTTGTAGACTATCTGATTAGAGGGCATTGTGCTGCTTTTGTGAAGGGAAAGTGGCCGTGGTGGTGGAGATGTCAGAGACTTGGACAAGGGAGCAGGGGCTGCCTAATTTCAAAGTCTGGTTTTTCAGACACGCTCACAAAGTGAATTAGAAATGTCACAGACATGAGAGTGTATGTTAGTAGCGGTTGGCCGTTGTTAGAACTAGTGGCTTGTAGTGAGTGCTATACGGCCCATTAGCTCGTTTGGGGAGGAAAACAAACCCCTGAAGATTAATGTGCACAAGGTGGAATTTTCTTTGTCCTCTGCTTTTTAGCAAAAAGGACTTTGTGTTAGTCAGAAATTCTACTGAAGCAGATTATTAAAAGCTCTAAAAAAAAAATGGTGTGCTTGCCAAGAGTTTCAGTAGTCTACTTCTTCATTACCCAGTTCCTTCCCGCTGTTGTCCGGACATCTGCTGCTGAGCAGACACTCCTGTCACTCGGGGCGCACGTGCCCTGTGCCCACAGTCAGGCCCTGCTCCCTGCTTGTGGCTGGAAAGTCTGTCCCTGGCCACGCAGGTAAGGAAGCACAGGTGCGGGCGTGAGCCCTGCGCTGTCTGGGTCAGGGGCTCCGTAAGCTTCCTGCACGTGCCTTTGGCAAGAAATCTCATTGTTACTTTAAGCTTACTTTCCTGCCATCTTTGTAAAATGCTCAATTTAGCAGATACTTGTAGTGGTGACAGTTTAGAGAGTCTAAAACTCTGTAAGGTTGTAAAGGAGGCGTGACAAAACCAGCTGGAGTCAGGAACTGCTTCCACTCTGCTCATGCAACAGCCGAGTTAAGAAATAAGTGTTCCCCAGAATGCACACTGTGCTGCCACCCCCAGGTGACATTCTTTCCAGGTACATTTGACACCTCTTCTCGCACATCCTGTTCACCTGTTGGTGACCACACCCCTGGTCTCATGCGAGATTTAGTACACCTGCACAGTCCCTTCTCAGGGGCAGACCTCCTCCTGACGGCCTCCGCCAGTGAGTTGCAGCCACCCGATGTTTGTTGCGTTTGGAAGTGTTTGTTGCTCCCGTTGGAGAAAGTATTTGCATAAGCATTTCATGTGTCTAGTGTGGCATTTCTGGATGCGGCTGTCACAGCAGTGTTGTTATTGGTAGTTAATCTTACTGCAAGGTGAACAGTATGGCTGTTTGCTTTGTCCTTGCCATGGCGTTCTTAGAAAGTACCCTGTCTTTCAATATTGGTTTTTTCAACATGAATATATTCTACTTACAAACTCGTTTTGCTTCTTTGTATATAATTTGCCTTGGGTTTATTGTGCACAGTTTATTTAGTTATGTTTTCGTGTATTATCAGGAGCAAATTTGATAAGTACATGTGAATAACCTCCTGTAAATGAATTTTATAACAAAAATGTACTAAAATATTTTCTCAAATTAGTTGTGCAGGATTGATAATTTTTTGCTGTAGCTTTGACTATTTCTATGCTCTGAATTCATAGGTGAGATTTGGTGAACAATAGCCATGTTGTCTTTGTTAAAACCTAATTCTAAGAGAAAATGGCAGAATTAAAAGTGGAAGCAAGAAAACTGACATGGGGTAGGAGTGATGTATGATTGAGTTAAGGCACAAGGTGCTTACCAGATAACACATGTAGTCTGCAGTTTGACTTGTTTTATGCTGAAATTATTTGGTGGGGATTCGTTTCATTCACCTTTGTCGTGCAGCCCCACCCCCAGCTCTCCTTGTTTCCCAGCTCCGTTTGGAATCTTGCCGCTAAGGTGACAAGGTGCGGCATGGCCGACTGTGGGGTTCAGTTTAGATACGGGAGTTTGGGCCAACAGAAATGCCTGCTCACCATTAGGCTGAGGTTGGGGAGGGACAAATGAATGGTGACCCATGAAAGGAGCTCCCAGAGGCACCAATGGAGGAGCAGAGCGTACATGTCCAAGTCGGGGAACTGCTGGCTACAGAAGCGAACGTGTTTTATGAAAGCAGTGACTTCAGGGAGCATGGTCATAGTGTGCCACACTGTTGCCCATTCCAAGGCCCTGGCCCTCAGCCTCCGGGTCTCGCTGTCCCCGGGGCGTGCACACAGCCTCACTGGGCCGCCTGCTCCTTTCAGATGCAGGCACAAGTTACCCAGGAGGGTAAAATGACGTATTTGGGAGTTATGGGGCATAATAAATTTGCCACATGACCCGATGAGAGATGAGTGCTCTGTGATTGCCATTCCGTTTGTGCAATTCGTGACTGCAGCAGCTGTAGCCATGAGTTTTAAAGTCACTCCTGACCAACTCTCTCACATGATAGCCACTGCCTCCACCATCCAGTGAAGAGTTTCACCATTCATTGAGGAATAAATAATTCAGGGAAGAAACTAAAATTTAGCTCCAGCTTAAATAGAATTTATAGTGGTGTGCGGCAGAATAAAGGTGGTTTCTGTACACAAAGGACCCCTCCATAATTCTTTTTTTTTTTTTTGAGGAAGATTAGCCCTGAGCTAACAGCTGCTGCCAATCCTCCTCTTTTTGCTGAGGAAGACTGGCCCTGAGCTAACACCCATGCCCATCTTCCTCTACTTTATACGTGGGACGCCTACCACAGCCTGGCGCGCCAAGCAGTGCCATGTCCGCACCCGGGATCCGAACTGGCGAACACTGGGCCGCCAAAGGGGAATGTGCGCACTTAACCGCTGCGCCACTGGGCCTGCCCCCCCCAATTCTTAAAGGACCTCAGTTACTGTCACTGTATCCTACTGTACCAAAGACATTTGCCGAGTCAAATGGCATGAACATGAATGCGTCCGGAGACGGACAGAGTGTTCGGGAGGCGTCCCTGGCATGCTGATGTCCCCACAGCGCGAGCTCAGCGGTACCGGCAGTTGCTGCTGCCTGTGCTTAAGCAGCATCGCTGCAAATAGAGTTGTTGTAGTTTTCACCCTGGGGGCTGCACTTTGGAGTCCCCTGGGGAGTTTTTTGAAAAGTTCCCACTCCTGGGCTCCACCTTAGGATTTTTGCCTCTGGCACCAAGCTTTTGCCCCCGTTTTTTTTGTTTTTAGACTCTTCAGCTTTAACAAATTCACTCCAGGTGATTCCGTTCAGCAGCCAGCCTTGAGGCCTGGCTCCTCCAGGGTGAGGAGCAGCTAGGAGCATCCCTGGGACCCACTGAGGGTCTGCCTTTCTCAGTGCGTCGTCTCCTTTGGGTGTCCTGGACGGAGCAGGCCCATGCCAAAAAGCCATCTTGGCGTCTTTGCTTTTGTTCAGGAGATTCCCAGCGGCAGCATAGCAGGGCCCGAGGAAGGACAGGTGAGAACAGCTCATGAGTCCTAATGCCTCCGTGACTCAGGGGAGGAGATAGAAGTCTCCTTGCAGAATCCAGGAAGCTTTGGAGCGAATCCGTGCAGCCGAGACGAGCTCTCAAAAAGGCAACAGGTCTGATGTGTGTTCTGGCCCCCGGCAATGAGACACCGAGTAGCTGCCACTGGTGCTGGGGCTCTGAGTTTAATCAAAAGAATACTTGGTACGAGTCTGCTAGACATCTGTACTCCACATACATCATCTCTTTGAGTTCTCCCACCAAGCCTACAACAGACATACTATCGTTATCGTCATTGTATATAGATTTTTATAACACAGGGTCCTATCGGTGAAACAGCTTTCCTGGGGTGACTAAGGGAAGAGCTCGCAAAGCTGCAGTTCTCGTGACCCCACAGCCCTTGCTTATAACCACTGCAATAGGGACGAGCAAGACTGGATGCTGCGCTGGCCACACAGCCGCAGAAACAGGCCTGGGGAGGGAGGTGGTGTCAACGGGAAAGGGGCAGGAGTCTGCTTCAGCTTTGCCATTGCCGTTGGCTGTGGACAATTCATAGCCTCCGCGGGCTTCAGATTCTTTACCTGAAAATGACGGGTGGAATTTGAATTCTCTTCTCACTCTTGTCACCAATAAACTCTAAAGTCCCAGGCCCAATCCCTGAGGTTCTGGAGAGGAAGAGGCTGGTGGAGTGTGGTGGATTTCTCTCTTTGTCCGTTTGGGCTGCTGTCACAAAATACCAGTGACTGGATGGCTTATAAACGACAAACATTTCTCACAGTTCTGGAGGCTGGAAATCCGAGATCATGGCACTGGCAGATTCGGTGTCTGGTGATGGCCATCTTCTCACTGTAACCTAACATGGTGGAAGGGGCCAGGGAGCTTTCTGAGGCCTCTCTTAAAGGACACTGATCCCATTTATAAGGACTGCACTCTCATGACCTAATCACCTCCCAAAGGCCCAGCGTCCTGATACCATCACATTGGAGTTTAGGATTTCAACATATGAATTGCGGGGCAGGGCCGGTGAGGGGCACGCACAAACATTCAGTCCATTGCAGTTTGTAAGTTGTCAGCTTGGGTAGGCTGAATTCCCGGAGTTGCCTGTATGTTTTCTTTGGGGTGGGCCACAAGAGACACTGCATGAGATCTGGAGGCCAGGAATGAAGGAGCAGCCCTCTTCTTCATAGACTCCCAAGGTTGAGACAGAGGTACCAGGCACTGTTGTAACCCTACCTGCTGTCACTCATCTGCTGGCTTGTCGGTGTGGGGCAGTAGCCAGGCCTGGAGCTGGGTCTTCCTTCCCATGTCATCTTCAGCTTCTCAAGTGCCTGGGCCACGTGGCTGTATGGCTCCACGACAGAGGGCACCAGCGTCTCCTGTGGGACACCCACGTCTCCAAAACTGCAGGCAGACTGACATGGGCTCCAGTCCACCCTCACAGTTCCCCGCTTGTCCTCGCTCTCCCACTTTACATCCATCTTCCGTTCCCAACTGCCTGTAGACTTCAAGCTCCATTGTCAGACGTGAAGACCATAGGTGCCTTAGCCACTCCCACAAGTGCATAAGGCCAAGTCCTTGAAATTCATACATTATGTTTGTTTCTTACAGTGGTTCTGCTTCTCTAATTGAACCCTCACAGACACAGAATATACTGGTCCCTCCTAGTGGTCACCTCCTTATGTAGTCCCCTCCTATGGTGAATAGGGCTGACCTGTGTAAGAAGTTTGGATATCGTGGAAATGACAGCATGTGTGACTGTGGAAGCCAAGTGCTCCCTCTTGGATCGTTTGCTCTGAGGGAAGCCAGCTGCCATACTTTGAGGATACACAAGAACCTCTGTGGGGAGAGGTCCACATGGCGAGGAACTGAGGCCTCCTGCCAAAAGCCAGCAACACCAACCTGGGCAGTGAGAGTGCCATCTTGGAAGTGGGTCCTCCAGCCCCAGTCAAGCCTTCAGATGGTGCAGCCCTGGCTGACCCCTTGACTGAAACCTCAAGAGAATCCCCAAATTAGAACTACTGAGCTGCATTGGAATTCCTCACCCACAGAACCTATGGGAACTAAATGACGGGCCCAAGCCCCCCAAGCCAGTGCCTTTCAGCCAAGAAGAATGAGATGCAAAGATGATGTACAGTGTTGTGCTGTATGCACAATAAGCAGCCATTCTAGTGTGGGGAGGCAGAGAAGGCTGGGAGCTTAAGGGTGGAGTAGAAGTTAGCATTCCAGACAAAAACTGGGGACCCCAGTGAAGAAAGAGCATGACAAAGTCTGAGAACACGTTGGTAGGGGCTGGCGATGAGGCTCAGGGCAGTGACTGAGGAAGGCCGGATCACCCAGGGCCTTTTAGGCCAGTGACCAGTCAGGTCTTATCCTACAGGCAGTAGGGAGCCCTGAAGGTTTTTAAGCAAGGGAGAGTACTTTTTATAAGCAAAAGTCATTCTCAGGGCTGAAAGCATGGGACTAGCATCCTTGACTAATACGCGCCATTGAGACATGAGAGGGAACCGTCTGTCTGAGCCCCCTGGGTCTTCCGTGTCTCTGAGCTTCTCCAGCTCGGTGCTCAGAGGCCCTGCTGCTTCCACCTCAGGTGCTGGGCCGGGAGCCCGCGGAGCTCGCCTGTCTTTGCCCGTTCTTGGCGGAGCATGTCGGGAGAGCTTTTACGTACGGTGGCTTGGGTTCTGTAATAATCTTGGATGATTACAGCACCAAGTAAAGCGAACTAACTTTCCCAGGTCTTCAGTCTACAGACCTTGAATTTCAGTCCTCTGTGCTTAACTGAGGCCACCCTCTCAGGGAGCAGCAAGAGGAAGGAAACTTTTCATCATGACTGTTCAGGCCACAGGGACACCTTAGCCTGGTCCCTCTGGTCAGAGGGATGGGTTTTCTGTGAGGATTTTGGGAACTCAGGCTGCTGCTCCCACAGCAGGTGGTCGTGCTGCTCCATGGCTAGGTCAGGCCTTGGGGTGGGGCTGGGAGAAAAAAACCAAATGCAAGAATTAGCTGGGGTGGGGGGTGTGGCCGGCCCTGAGGCTGAGTGGTTAAGTTGGCGCGCTCCGCTTCGGTGGCCCAGCGTTTTGCGTGTTCGGATCCTGGGTGTGGACATGGCACCACTCGTCAGGCCATGCTGGGGTGGCGTGCCACATAGCAGAACCAGAAGGACCCACAACTAAAAATATACATCTATGTACTGGGAGGATGTGGGGAGAAGAAGAAAAAAAGAAGAAGATTGGTAACAGATGTTAGCTCAGGGCCAATCTTCCAAAAAAAAAAGTTGT